CGTCAAAGCAGTTCACATAAGAGGAATAACAGCATCATAGAAATGAAATATAACATTAATACTGATTAACACTAAATAATATCAAATAGAAAAAAAATAATTAATTAAAAAAGCAACACGGTAATGCAACCACATTTAAAAATAAATTAAAAATTAAAAGCTGAAGAGAAAAACAGAGCAAGACAGGAGAGGAAGGGAGGGATTTAAAAACCTGGGTTGGAATCTACCTAGGTTTCCTTCACAGATGGAATGCATCTATCAATAGAACAAGAAAAAGGACAATTTTCAGTTTCAGTTGTTCCAGAGACATCATCACAAAACTGCTCTTCAGGCTGTCCCAACCCACTGATAAACATTTGGGAAGGAAGACGGAGACATTCCTTTCCATTCTGAAGCCTTCTAACTGTGGAAGGAAGACAGTTGGATTCCATTCTACATTTTACTATGGAATAAAATAAGACATCACAGAAACAGTACTATTTCCAGAGTACGTATGGTCGGTTTACCAGCACTGAACATAGCTAGCCAATGGAGGAACCAACGTAAAACGTGGTCAGAGTCAAATTATTATGGCTACACAGTAATGTAGCCATATATTTTACATAAGCACAGCAAAAATCATTCTACAACAAAATAAAAAGATAGGGGTGACCCAAACAAAAAAATTATAACCACAAAACTGGACCTCAGATTAGTACCACATTTGGCACAGATATAGCAAAAAAATCTGCTGTTGCTCTGAACCAAATTTGCGGATGTTTGGGCACAGGGTTTTCAAGTTGTGAGTTTTTGAAAAGTAACACTGTTTTACACAACATAAAGACACAAGCGACCATAAATCTGCAGCTGATAGAAAATAGATAAAATATGTGGATAACACAAAATATGTGGATAACTCTGTGGGAGATGCTTTTTTCTTCTAGGATGATGGAGCCATTCATGGCTTTTTAACCCCTAAAGCTTCTGAAATCACTGTCTTTTTATAATGTCCAAGAATTCCAAAGGAACTATTTTCATAGCATAGCATTCTGGCCAATCAGAATGTGTTTCCAGTCAGTCCACGGCACAGATGTAAGTCTATTACTTTTATCCCTACCATGACCTTCAGTGTGAAAGAAAGCATTTAATTCCTTCCTGGCCACACATTTTTAGCTCCTGCCTGTGAAAATATTTTTAAAACTATTTTGAAAAATAGATAACAATATACACAGCTCACTCATTTAAGCTGTGAAATTACTATTTTTCCCGTTTGTGGCTTTGAATGATGTCAAAGTAAATTCTGCCCAGTTTACTCATGAGTATGTTTACCCAGTTTACGCATACGTTTATGGACCCACATGATTTCATATGATTTTTAAATATCCTCCCTAAACTACTGTCAAATCATAGATCCTATTTGCACCCACAAGTTACACCACAGAAATAATGAGTCCTTCAGTGCATGGCTTTGCAGTGGTTTAAAAACACGGAGATGATAATGCATCCTCATAGATTCACATGATTCTTCTGCAGGATCACCCTAAATCTACTGTACACTCTTAGGCCTCATTTGTGCCCATAGGGTACGACACTGAAATCATGGGTCCTACAGCACATGGCTTTGAAGTGGTGCAAAAACATGCATCCAAAGCATGGGTCCTCATGGATCCACATGATTTTTACACAGGATCACTCTCAAACCACTCTCCAAACACAAGTCCAATCTGTGCCCACAGACTACACCACAGAATTCATGGGTCCCCCAGTGTGTGGCTTTGCAGCGGTGCAAAAACATGGATCTGATGCATGGACCCCCATGAATCCACATGATTTGGATATAGGATCACAAACCGCTGTTCAATCATATGTCCTGTCTCTGCCCACACACTAAAACACAGAAATCATTGGTCCCCCAGCACAAAAACATGGGATTAAAGCACAAATCCTCATGCAGCCATCATGATTTTTCTGCAGAGTCATACTCAAACCACTATCCAACCATAGATCCTATCTCTGCCCACAGACTACAAGAGAGAAATCATCAGTCCCCCAGCACATGGCTTTGCAGTGGCACAAAACATCAAAGTCCACATAATTTTTCTGCAAGATCATCCCCATACCACTGTCCACATATAGGTCCCAGTTGTGCCCATAGGTTACACCACAGAAATCATAGCTTTGCAGTGGCACAAAAACACCAATCCAAAGCACAGACAATGACAATAATACCTTTAGAACTGCAAAGCTGGAAGGGATGCTACGGACCATCATGTCCAGTCCCTGTCAAGGAGCTAAGCTGGGGAATTGAACTCCCAACCTCTAGCTTCACAGCCAGATACCTAAACCACT